CGACAAGGAGGACGCGGACGAGGACAACGAGGACAGTGACGGCGACGAAGACGGTCACGATGATGATCACGATGATGACGCGCATGACCACAACGACCATAAAAAATCATACCACCACAACCACCACGACCACAACGGCCACGACGGCCACGACGGCCATGGCGACAACTACGGCGACCACAAAGCGACAACGACCACGACTATCACAACGGCGATCACCAAGCGACAACGACCACGACGACCACCACCACTGACCACCAATGACCACGACCCCACGAATGACCACGACCAGGACGACGACAACGACAGCTCCGCTGTCAGGAGCGCCAGAGGTGGCAGCTGTCGTCAGGGTGTTCGTAACCACCGTCTTCGTCGTAACTATCAGTGTGGTCACCACGGAAATGTAGATCCTGAACAGCATCATCAGCATCCTGATCGTCATCAGAAACCAGTAATCGCCATTACCCTTTTTCTGCTACTTCGTGTTCCTCTTCTTGTGATTCGTCTTCATGATCTTCATTGTCTTCACCGGCATTGTCATCGTCAGCCACCGCGTAAGCATTAGCATCACCCTGGTCTTCCTCACCATCATCGTCATTCCCATCCTCATTGCCGACGGTGGCCTGCTTAGCGGTTAAGCGCTCCTGCAGGTCGTAAGCGCGCGCCGAAAGGCGCAGTTGATATGAGGGCATGTCAAAATCCCTGGCAGGCGTGGTATATCCGGCATTTGGAGGATTCAAAGTGGTTACCAAGCAAAGGGACAAATTGGAAAAAGAACAAAAATCATGCTGCCGCCGTGGTTTCGCGCGCATGCAGGCGGGAAGGACACACACAGCTCATTGCTTTACAGCTTGAGCCAGGCACTGTCTGTCTTAGAGTTAAAGAAATCCTTTGGACTTTGGTCCAGCGCGCGCACCCAAGCGTGTCTGTACAATCATGAGTCCGGGATGTTTTCGCAACCGCTGCGTTGACAAGACCGCAAAACCCACTTCCTTTGCGGAATTACGGCCCAAAATGTTTGCTTGCGCATGATGCGCTTAACTGCTGAAAACTGGGATTCGGCTTGGCTATCCCCCCCCAACACTGTGAGCTCTTGCTGTGTGATCAGGGCGGCGGGTCTCTTACGGGAAGCAAGGTTACGGCCCAAGGCGTTTGAAGAGCCATGGCCAGAGGCCCGCCCATCTCTTTGTTCATGGCAACATTGGAAGAATCCCTAAAAGGGCCCTAATTCAGATTGTTCCCTATAAGAAAAGTTGAATTTGGAACTCGGTACGAAGAACCTAAGTTGGAACTGTCCCTAAGAAGTTCCAATTTGAAATAGATAATCCGTACGCAGACTCAAAATTGAAATAGTCCCTAAGAAGATTCTAATTTGGAAGAATCTTTGAAAAAATCCTCATATGGAATAGTCCCTAATAATGCTCTGGTGACCGTATGCTCTTGGAACACGAACTTCATTATGGTTTGAGCATGGATGCAGTGGTGACCGTACACGAACGGAATTATGTAATGGGCATGGATGCTCTGGTGACCTTTTGCTCTTGGAACACGAACGATACTGTGGTCTGCATGGATGCTCTAGTGACCGTATGCTCTTGCAACACGAACGTTACTGTGGTCTGGGCATGGATGATGTGGGAAACCTTACGCAAAGGCGTGGATGTTGTCACGATCGCCGCATGGATGCTCAGCGACAAACGCAATGCGTGGTGGCAGCAATGATTTTGAGGCCTCGGGAGCTCCGAAAGTGCTGTTCGTGCCACGCAGGCCAGTCCCGATGAAATCAGGCGGGAACGCATTTTTTGTGCGTTAGCGGCCCATAGGAGCCAAAGAAACATTATCGTCGACGTCAGCATCAACAAGGCTGTCCTTATCCCCATCGTCAACAACACTCTCATCATCATCATCATCACCATCATCATCAGCATCATCATCATCATCATCATCATCATCAGCGTCCTGACCAATGCCATTGTCATTACCACGAATAGTAGCAGCAGCAGAGCAATCCTACTGGCCATAAGCATCGGATAGCATCGGTTTCCTCGGCACCATCATCTCCATCATGATCATCATCATCATCACCACCATCATGATTGCCAAGGTCATCACCTTGTCACCATAACCATCAACAGCACCATCATCCAAATCATCTCCCGCAATCGCAGTGATGTGCCGAAGAGCAAGCGAACACGAGAGCACGGAGGGATTCACATCACAGGAGCTTCGTCGACTTAAGCACAGCTTGCTCTCTGCGAAATAGGGAGAAGGAAGACACATGTAAGAATAACATAGCGATTGCAGAAGCTTTGTGCTGGCAGGAATGATTCCCACAAGCTGTGGGCCACGGAGTTCTCGAACTTGATAAGGGGTTTAGGATTTTGCGGTTCTCGGTTCCGGGGTTTTATGATGAAGCAGTTTGAGGGCTTAGGGTTTTGCGATGTATCATTCGAGCTGTAGTCTAAACTCCTTGTATGCCCCTTAATAGCCCCTATAGTAGTCCCCTACATAATCCCCTAAATAAGCCCCTTGTATGAAGTTGAAACCCTAAATCCTGAACCCGAAACCCTCTACAATCCCATATATAAGTTTATAAGCCCCCTTTAAGGAGTTTAGACCCTAAACCCTGGTTCCACTTCAGTTTGCTGCAGCACGCAAGTGACTCGGAGTGGCAGAGACTTGGGGTCTAAGGATTAGGGTTTAGGGATTAGGGTTTACATCCTAAACCCGAAGCTAAAGGGACTCAATTGGGAACCAAAAGCAGGGAACCCCAAGAACATAGGAGGACTGTAATAGGCATATTACCTACCAGACTCCTTGTACTCTATTACTTTTCCCTTTTGGATATGTCTGTGCGAATAGACTTCTTACTGACATAGTTCCTATGGTAGACCCATGATTAATAACCCCCTCCGTTTAAGAGCCTTAATATTAGGATCCCTATTATTCCTATTAAGGGGAGGGGGTTTATTAATCAGGGGTCCCTAAACCCTAAACCCTAAATAGTAATTTCCATGTTCTTTTCCATTATCCTTATATAACCCTAAACCCCAAACCCCTAAAACTTAGGGATACGTATTCCTATGGTTTGAGGTTTCAGGAGGACCTCCCCAGTCCCATCACATCAAGCTAGACCCGCGATTGAGGGTTTAGGGTTTAGTGGATCCAAAAATGAACCCCCCCTTATGAACCCATTGCTACATTGGGGAAACTAGGGCGGGGGGTTTGGGGTTTAGGGTTTAGGTGGTCTGGGAAGCTAGACTGACACTTGACACTCGGAGGATCTGTGGGACGATCTCCTGCAAGCCAGAAGAAACACCATCGACTACCCAGATATCACCTTTCTTAACCTATGTCCCCATTCGGGGATCTTATTCTGGTTTTGGGGAATCCCATATTCTCTGTACTTAAAAGGGGAAAATACTAACCCTAATCAAACCCTAAACCCGAAACCGGACCCCTTGCAAGAAAGAAGCTTATCTGCATCGCACCAGTTCTGGCAGTTCTGAGACCAGGTCATCAGCATGCAAGTGCCCAGCGAAGTCCAGTTGAGAGTAATGTTGGACAGAGGAGGACAAAAGCCTTCCGAGGCTCTGCGGGCTTGGGGTTTAGGGTTATAGTCTCCCTTAAGGAGATAGAATATGGCTTTGGGTATATTCTAATAAGATCCCCATAAACCCCATATTCTATCTACTTAACGGGGACTACGAGGGTCAAGGGCCTAGCGTTTCGGGTTCAGGGCGTTGTAGGTACATAGGGACATATGAAAATAGGTTAGAATAGCGCAGACCCAGTAGAAAAACAAGAAAAAGCTGGGATAGATAGAGGTTTGTATAGGGGTTGGAATGTAGAGGCATAAAGAATCAGAACGGGCTTGGCGTCTATACTACGGTTATGCACAAGAAGGACCACAAGGCAATGTGATACTTTTGAGCTTTATGGCTTTCTGCGCAAGGTTTGCTTTTGCTGGGTTGCTGTTAAGGAATTTAAATGACGTTACCCTAGTATGGGTATACAGTACACAATAAGGTTTCCTTATTCTAGCAATTTAAAAAACGAAACCCTAAATACCCTAAATACGCCACACCCTAAATACCCTAAACCCAATGCCTAAAACCCAAAAGTGTATAGCATGGCCAGAGCAGGAGGGTAGACTGTCCCGCATGGAACAAGGCCTGCGCCCCTGATAGCACATCTGGTTCATGTGATATGGGCCCACACGGTTTAGGGTTTAGGGTTAAGGGTTTAGGGTTTATGGCTTAGGGTTGCTTCCTTTAGGATTAGGGTGGCGAGCACATACTGCCGCACGATTTAGCGCTTAGGGCTGAGGAGGCTGTGGCCGCATGTAGGGGACATAAAGGGATATATCGAAAGAACCCCAGCTTCAATTTCGTGCTCCATTGTCTGTCGTGTGGTTTCCATTATACCATTGGTATATACACTCACCGGTTTTCAGGGAACTTCCAATCCAAACATGTTTTCGAAACATGACACTTCTTGCGCTGTAGCGCGGAATCATGCTATAACCCCAATATATATATATATCCTATTATAATACAATAGTTTCCATGTTCTTTTCCATTATCCCTATATAACCCCAGTATACCCCATTATAGGGGACTATATGCAGTCCTACCTCACCAAAGCTGGTACGGTTCCAGGGCTCAGGGC